GGTTGAAGGCATGCATATTCTCAGAACGGTCAAACACTGGATTCAAAAGTTCAAATACTGTTCGAGGCATGCATGTATATCTGCATTTACCTGTGTTGTACTGTCCCATATAAATAGAAGCTTATCCCCCATCTAAGGAGTATTCTCAAATATCTGAAATATTCATAATTTCAGAATTAACTCTGAGTCAAAAGAGGCCAAAAGGCCTAATCCATGACAACTGAAGAAGAAGAGAAAGAAACTGAAGACAATTTCAAGCACAGTTTTACTATAAAATATGCCTTCAAATACATTTGTTCTCTGAAGCATGTCATAGAAATCATGAAATAATGGTGGGTGGTAAACACTGTTGTTGTGGATGATGTCAGTTCTGTTTCCAAGGAAGAGAGACAGACACTAGACATGTTTATTCAAAGAAAGAGTTATTAATGTTATTTTCACCCTCTGATATTAATCCAAACGATACTTAAGATTCAGTTCATACCTCACAGAAAACACTATCTCAATTAAAAATGGAAATTATTTAAAACTGTATTGGTAAATAATTAAGAGCTGTTGAAAGTGGTGTTTTCTGTGCTATCCATGCTGAGACTATTTAGCAAGTACCAGCTGCCATTACCAGTCAGTCTGAGGAGAGTCTGAGTCAAAGAGTCTAGAAAGGAGTTGAGAGAGTCTGGAGGCAGACAGTCAGTTCAGAGTTGCAGAAGCTGGTGGCTGAGGGCAGGGAACAGTTCAGGAACCCAGAGGAAGGAGAACATTGCCATTGGAAGCTACTACCAAGCAGCGCAATAAGACTGTTACTGAGAAAGTTAGTAATTGTGTGATGGTGAATTATAAAGTGTAGTCACGGGTTGTTTGTTAAAGAGTCCAATAAATCCAGTTACTATTCCACAAACTGTCTATAGTCACTATAGCACATGACAATATTATTAGATACAGATTTTCCCTGTGGTCCATAGTAATTTCAAAGGCATTAGATCAGAATTCTGTGGGGGGGTATGGGGAGGGTGCATGCACTGTGTTGCCCTTACCTAGCTGCATTCAATTGTTTGTTTAAGGCTTTTCATTCTCTCCATTTGAGTAGCAGTTCTTCCTTACTTTCCTCCAGAATATATTTTAGTAGCGAACTTTATGGCATAGAGTCTTGCTTTTGAAGCTGATATACTCAGTAAATTCCCAGGTTCTTATGGTTGTGACTATGAAGAGTACAATTCTGGCATGTGATGCCTGTAGTCTGACAGAAGTTCACTGATGCTGTACACTTATACAGACAATAGTGTCACACCCTAGAATATAGTACTCATCATCATTTCACTACTATATCTGCAAAGTCCCATCTCTAGTCCCTGTCCTCAGCCAGCTAGATGAGTCCAGTCCAATCTTTCTACTTGACACATATTTCATTTATGAAAGGCATTTTGTAATGTTTCTGACAATGTACAAAAAGATATTTGTAATGTTAAAGAAGTATGTAACACAGTTTAATGGACAGAAATTGAAGGAATGACCCTTAAGATCAGTGACATCTCTGTTGTCACTTGCAACACAAGTATCACCTAATTATGTAAATGTATATTTGATCCAAAAATGAATCTTTTCTCTGCTGACAACTCGTGCTGAAGGGTTTGCATGATATTATACAGTTCTCATTTATATGACCTCAACTAGTGAGTCAAGAATAATTGTGATATTAGTACTTTTGCATGTATACAGTTGTTACAATTGTCTATTTTGTGTCCAATGATGAGAAGCTTCTCACCTATCATGGAGAACACAACTGTCGTTACAGTCACTGAGGCTAATGAAAAGACCAGGAGCTCAAGAAACATTTTAAACCTGCACTATCTTGTAAACAATTTCTCAGGAGGAGAATATAATGAGAAACCTGACATGAAAATCTTAAATTTAAAAAAACCTAGACCTGAAAATATCTATGACTAGTCTGGAGCAAAATAGAAATAAACAGAAATAATAAGTTAATTTGCATGCACCATAGAAACATTTACATTAGTCATCCAATTACTTGTGCTGATTCTCATATTATTCATTTTACAACAATCAAATTCTCCACAGCCAGCCATTAATATCTTCTTGCTTAGTCTCTTGGAAAGAGAACGGGTAAAGGGAGACAACAGCGGATTGTAATGTGGACTTGGATCAGTATGCACATTCAATTTTTGCTTTTGTTTATGATGCTTTAAATCTTAAGCTATATAATACTTTGTCACAACCATTACACAGTAACTTATATATTTGAAACTGGACTTCATTAAATATACAGTTATGCTTTTTTTCATATCAAAGATTTAGGCAGATGATATGGGCTACAGTACACATTCACTCTCAATTCACATTACAAAATCATTCATACATTCATACACAATTTGTTAAAATTTAAATTCTTAGCCATTTTTTTGAGTACCAACAAATTTCTGATACTTTGTTCAATCCAGAAACATTGGTTTGATGCAGGAGGTTAAATTAGTAATTCTTGATTAATTCATTATATTTCATTCCTAAACTCAATTTAATTTTCTGATAATGTACCTGCTAGAAATAATGCAATTCATGAAGATAGCTGGATCTGAAGAATTTAGAAGGAGAGTATCATATAGCTGTAGTCTGCATTATGAATCAGTTTTAGGGCAAATAATTTTGTTTTGGTTGAACAAATGTGGCTAAGTAGGCCACTGTTATATTAAGAGAAGTGCATAAAGTTTAGTACCATAAAACAAAGAAAATGAAGACTTCTAAATAAAGTATCACAGCCTACAACAAATTGCTGTATAGTGAAATATGACAAGATATTTGTTATAGTTAAGATTACTGTGTGTGAGGCCAGTGTTTTAAGGAATGGCAGTTTCTCTTTAGCTTAGATGAAGGTTTGCATTTACAATCTGAAAACATTTAGTATTCCATGTTGATTACTTTAGGCAGGGTGTTTTGAAAATAGTGTATTATCTGACTAAATTTATTTGAAAGTGAGAAAACTGATAACAAATGAAAGCAAAATTAAACCTTACATGTGAACATTTACATATTTGGATTAGGAAAAACTTCATCCTGCATGGCAGTGGGTGGATAAAACTGAAGTTATATTTTGAGTCAGTCTTAATTCCAATTGACATTGTTTGTCTGTTTTTCTGCTAGTCTTTCAATTCCTCACTGTTTCTTGAGTTTGTAATTAAATTTTATATAAACCTGTTGCACTTGATGGACTTATTAATTACTCGGAACAAGATGTCTCTTATAATATTCTATTTGACATATATCTTGCAGTTCAGTAAAGGAAAACTGATTTTTATTTTGATAGCCAAAATATTCAAATAAATTTAAATTAATCATTGTTTCCTATACACTTTGTTAAAGTGGTGACTGCTCTGCATTAGAGGAGGTAAATGATTCAGCAAATATCTATGCATATGCCATTATGTTCTTCGTGTGTGAACAGTGCAAGAGTAGAGAGAAGATAAAAATTGGTTTCTGCACTGCAGTAGAAACATTCCAATTCATTCAAATTTCTGAACTGTAACTGTTGTGAATCATACCTGTATACTGTTCTAAAATAACAGTGTATGTATAGACAGTAGTTACATTATGAAGCTTGTTTTGCAGAAATTCTATTAATGTATTATTTTCTTTAAATTATATAGATGGAAGTATGATCATTTAATTTTAAATGGTCCACATTGTAATTAGCATGAAGGTTTAGAGTACTTCACATCACAAGTAGAAGGGGGACATCAGTATGCAATGGAAGTATACATGTGTATGTGTGTTTATTTGTCTTACTTATTTCTTAGTTTATTTACAACACTTAATATGAAAGTTTACAATCTTTGAAGTATGGGAGGTTGATCCTAAATGTGAATTTTGATTTGGGTGGCAGCAGTTTCGATAATCTATCTTAATATACTTTTGGTGGCCTGATAAAAACATCAGTATGAGTCATAATGACCAGTCTCCCAAGCTTTGGGACCTTCAGAAAATTAAGTGAGGGTAATAAGCACTACACCATAATTTTAGGTCATTACATGTAGGTGGTCCGTATGTTAGCAGACAACTGCTTCCCACTGCAGATTTTATTCTAAATTACCATATATTGCAATTAAGACACCAAAGAGAAACAAAAGAAAATGGAATTAAATTTTCAAAAGCAGAAGACAGCATTATTTGAATTACTCCTTATTTGAACTGCATGTTTGTTAATAACGTTATTTTATGCTTTGTTGTAGGTTGAAGTGGGAAAAGACTGATTGATAAGTTATATCTTTGATTCATAGATGAATCAGCCTGTAAATATTAAAAATCTGAGGAACGTGAAGGGGACATGTCAAGAATGATGTACACAGTTAAAGACTTTGTTTTGTAATTTATCTGTGTAATGCAACCTTCACTGCCCAAACCAAAGAAAATACGCAGGGCAGTCAAAAAGTTCCCAGAATTTCCCTGCAGATGGTGACCGAGCAATAAGATAGCGCGCACACTGTTGTGGTGGGAAGCTCAGCATGTCTGCTTGCAGGCACAACAGGTCTGGACAGGTTTCAGTGTGCAGTGTCGTTACTGTTCTGTTTGAATTAGACTTGAGTGTTGGTCATTCGGCGCAATGTCGCAGTTCGAACAGCGTGCGAACATAAAGTTCATGTGCAAATTGGGAAAATCTTCTTCAGAGATGCTATCGGCCCTGCAGCAAGTTTACGGTGATACTGTGCTAAAGAAATCTGCAGTTTACGACTGATTTTCCCAGTTTAAGAATGGGCAGGAGACATTACAGGATGACCAGTGCAGCAGGATACCTTCGACATCCAGAACCAAAGAAATCATTGGAAAGTTGTGACAACTGATTCGATGTGATCGAAGAATGACCATTGCGGAGCTGGAGCAAGAAGTTGGTACTGCTACTGGCCATTTCTACGTGCAAGTTTTGCAGAGGTTGCACGATGTGGTTCGGGAGAAGCAGTGTGACAGGTGGCAGGGACAGTGGTTTCTGCATCACGATAACACACCAAGCCACACATCGCTTGTTGTGCAGCAATTCCTCGCCGAGAAAAACATTCCTGTCATCATTCTCATCATTCAACCACCGCACTCTCCGGATCTCGCTCTGAGTGACTTTCAGATGTTCCATACTCTGAAAATGGGCCTCAAGGGGACATGTTTCACAACCATGGAGGACATCAAATCGAATGTGATGGCTCAGCTCCAGAAGATTCCAAAAGAAGCCTTCCACCGCTGCTTCCAACAATCGCGGGATTGATGGAGCAAGTGCGTGTGCATGCAAGGTCCTACTTTGAAGGTGATTAGGTAAGCGTTGTCATATGTCCTACAATTAGAGTGCTATACCACCATTCCAGGAACTTTTTGACTGCCCCTCATATATACTTTCCATAAATCAGACTTTGAACAAATTTTAAGCAATAAATTATTGATAAATGTCAAGAAGGGACAAGAAGCTTACATTATACCTTATAATTTGAGTTTTCAGTGTAAATTAAATATTCCCACTCATTTCTAATGCTTGGCAAGGAATCAGTTCATTCAGCCTGTGTTAACCAGTACTGTATTCCTCTACCAACTGTCTTCACACATCTGTTGTGGCAGTTCTGTGCATTGTTCTTCTCTTGTTTGAAACACGTCCTGGTAACTTTCGTCCACCACAGTCACTAATATTCCTCTCTTCTGTCTATTTAGCCTCTTGACAAGGATTTACATACACTTGGAACTTCATTATTTTCGCTTCAGAAATATTTTCATTTCATTCTTATGTACCAACAACAAACCTTTCATTGTGTAGTTTAAGAAACTACAGAATATCTAAAATGACACTGATTTCAACATAAGCATAAGTTTATAAAAAGTGTGTTTCTTTCATGACTCTTAAATTTATGCAGAATCTGCTTCTCATAGCCATATTTTTAGGCAGGTTTCATATGACTTATTTATGGCATTTCAGCCTTGCATTTATTCATCCTCTTCAAGTCCTTCTCATGTGTGTCCTGAGAGTGCAACAGTTTATTTGCACTTGCGTGAACGATGTTGGAAGCGACGCATCCTCCTGTGCCACTCATCCTTCCATTCAATGACAATTGAACGCCGACTGACTGTCAGACCTGGATGATCACCTTCCTTTTCTTTACCCAATATCAGATAGGACCTGTAACAAGAACAAATATAATCAGAATGATACTTTCATACATAATTGTTGTAGCTGAAATAACTAACCAACAATATTCACTAACTTGGTCAAGAAATTCTCTACTGTTTCATGGTTCATTACCATATTCAGAAAAGCCTATACATGGATCCAGTCCTGAGCCAGAAGAGTCCAGTTCAACTACTCACATCATATTTTCTTAATCTCCATCTTATTAGTTAGTGAACCAATAGAAATCGGAAAAGGTAATTGCAGTCTACTAAATTCAGTGAATAATAAAGTACTAAGAATATTCCATCAGAATATAAGAGGATTGAGAAACAAAACAAATGAACTAATAAGCTCCATGAATTCAAATCTTCCACACATACTGTGCCTTACTGAACATCACATGAAACAGCTGGAATTAGAACATCTTCACTTAGAAAATTATAATTTAGGTGCTAGATACTGTAGGAAAACACTGGAGAAAGGAGGAGTGAGTATTTTTGTACACAAAAACCTAAAATTTACTAAAATAAATTTAGAAGATTATTGCAAAGACCAGGATCTGGAAGCATGTGCTCTAAAGTTAGACTCTCCTTTTTCAAATATTTGTATACTGACTTTATATAGAGCCCCATCTGGAAACTTCGATCACTTTATAAATAGATTAGAAACCATCCTAAATGTACTGCATAGTTCAAAAGTTGAATTTATAATTTGTGGTGATATAAATATAAACTATCTCATCGACAGTAATAGGAAACTAAATTTAGACTCTTTGTTATCATCTTACAATCTCTCCAGTACTGTTAACTTTCCCACAAGAGTTCAAAATAATTCTAGTTCAGCGATAGATAATATATTCATTGATAACTCAAAATTAAGAGACTATACTGTAGGACCCTTTATAAATGGCTTATCCGATCATGATGCTCAACTCATAGAAATAAATAATATTGACCTTCAGCCCAGTAATCAACAATATCAAACAGTAAGGAAAATCAACAAGCATACGATGGCAGATTTTGTCACAAAATTAAGTAATGAATCATGGGACAATGTATTTGACAGCAATAATATTGATTCTAAATTTAATTGCTTTCTGAACACATACTTGAGGATCTTTTATTCAAGCTTTCCCTTAAAAATAGTCAAAAATGAAAATAAAAACAAATCCACCTGGATAACAATTGGAATAAAAACTTCATGTAAACACAAAAGACAACTATATTTGGCCAGTAGGGACAGTAATGATCCAAGACTAAAAAGTCACTACAAAATGTACTGTAAAATTTTGTCAAAAGTCATTAAAGAAGCCAAACAGAATAACTATAACAGCCAAATTCTAAAATCAAACAATAAAATTAAAACCACCTGGGATATTGTGAAAGTTGAATCAGGAAAGAAATCTGTTAATGAAGACGTACAAAGTTTGAATATTGAAGGGAAGTCCACTAACAATCCACAAGCTATCGCAAGTGCATTTAATGAATATTTCCTTTCATTAGCTGAGAAAACATATTCCAATAACAACAACAACAACAACAACAATACTAATAATAATAATAATAATAATAATAATAATAATAATAATAATAATAATCCAATATACTATCTGTCTCGTGCCTTTAACAATTCATTTCCAAATATCAATCTCAAATTCTCAACAAGGAAGGAAATTGAAAACATTATTAAATCCCTTAAGCCCAAAAATTCACATGGATATGATGAAATCTCTACCAAATTACTTAAAGCAAGCTCTGTTTACATCAGTTCACCCTTGAATCATCTATGTAATAAATCTTTATCATCAGGTACTTTTCCTCAACGCTTAAAATACGCTGTAATGAAACCACTTTTTAAAAAAGGAGAGAGAAAATGCATCTCTAATTACAGACCAATATCCATATTGACTTCATTCTCAAAAGTCTTTGAAAAAGTTATGTATAATAGACTACTTGAACACTTAAATTCTAACAACATATTAGTCAAAGAGCAATTTGGATTTAGGAAAGACCTAACAACAGAAAAAGCAACCTATGAACTAACTAACGATATTTTAAGTGCTCTCAATGACAGATTAATTGTGGGAGGGATTTTCTGTGATCTAGCAAAAGCTTTCGATTGTGTTAATCATGATATCTTACTATCGAAATTAAATTTCTATGGAATAACTGGCAAAGCTAATGAATGGATCAAATCATACCTCAAAAACAGGTATCAAAGAGTTGAAATAAATAATAAAAACTCCAGTCATAATGCATTTTCAAACTGGGGAATTATAAAGCACGGTGTTCCACAAGGATCAATTTTAGGTCCCTTACTTTTTCTTCTCTACATAAATGATCTATCTAAAACCATCAACAATAAATCTAAACCAATTCTATATGCAGATGACACTAGTATAATATTTAAGAACTCTAAATTTGAAAACTTTAAAAATGACATAAATATTGTATTTGAAGCCTTAAACAGATGGTTCGAAGCCAATTTACTCTCATTAAATTTTGATAAAACCCATTACATATCATTCACAACTAAAAACAACCACCAAATTGATCTGGACATCAGTTATGCCAACAAATTAATCTGTAAAGTACTTGATACAAAATTCCTTGGAATACATGTAGACAGTACACTGTCTTGGAAAATACATATTGAACAAATTATACCTAAATTAAATGCAGCTTGCTATGCGATGAGATCAATTAAGCCTTTTATGTCACAGGAAACATTGAAGATGGTTTACCATGCCTACTTTCATTCTATTATGAACTATGGATTAATATTTTGGGGGAACTCTTCACATAGTGTAATAATTTTTAAAATACAAAAGAATATAATTAGAATCATTACAGGATGTAGAAGTAGAGATTCATGTAGAGAATTATTTAAGAAATTAAAAATTCTACCGCTTCAATCGCAATACATATTATCGCTTCTCCTATTTGTTGTTTACAACAAAGATAAATTCAAATTAAATTCTGATGTCTATAACATGAATACTAGACAAAAATATAACTTCCACCTACCCTCATCAACTTTATCAGTATATCAAAAAGGAGTCTACTTTACTGGCATAAAAGTGTTCAACAATCTGCCACAAAGTATTAAAAACTTGGGCAATGATACTAAAAAGTTTAAATCAGAGTTAAAGAATTATCTACATGCTCATTCCTTCTACTCTTTAGATGAATACTTCAATGTAAATAGAGAATGATGTAAAATTAAGTTATATTAATTTTTAAGCTAAAATTGCCTGTACTTATGCATGTAATCTTTTGACTTGTTCTGTATCCAAAGGCACTAACCTGCTTAGGATTTATAGAATGTAAATAAATTCAATTCAATTCAATTCAATTACTATCCTCCTATCTTTGCCTAGGTCTTCTAAGTGATCTTTTCCTTTCAAGTTTACCAGTCATAACTATGTACATATTGCACTTCGAATATGCAACAGTTCCTTTTATGTTTCTGTTACAGTAACATTCAAATGAATATGTGGAATATAAGTTATTTTCATTTTTCATACTGTAGGATATGAGAGGAATCTTCCTCCCCCCATAACAGAACTTTCATGATAATTGATTTTACACTTGATAATGGAGCAGATATAAAATATAAGAAAAGTGCATAGAGTTGAGTTCATAGGCACATCTTAAATGGTCACTTGTTAATATTGCGAACTTACATAACAATCCATTCGATACTGAATATTGTGATGGGCTATAGAGTCATTTGGAGCAAAACTGTTTGTGCTTGTTTTGCTAGGAACAATAAGGAAAAAATAATGTAAGTGCTCTTTTGAACCACTTGACCATACAACAGAAGACAATACATTAAAATAGATCTGTTTCTTTAAGTAGGGAGAGATAACAAAACTGTGAAATGGCCAATAAGTCTCATAATTTGGTAAGAGGAACTGGGACCCTTCTGAGTGGTGTATGAGGCAATAAATTATATGGGTCAAAGCAGTTCTTTTATTGAGGAGACAGAAGTTCCTACTGCTCAGTGGGGAACATTGAAACTGGGTATTAATAGTAAACAGCTTCACTCATCTACCTATTAAATTATTTCTTTTTAATACAGATACTGGCTACATGCTGGATGATAGAGGGGTCACAGTTTGAGTACCAGTAGGATCAAGAATTTTCTCAACATCATCCAGACCAGTTCTGGGGACTACATAGCCTTCTATGCAATGGGTACCACAGCCTCTTTTCCCAGGGGTAAAATGGCCGGGGCATGAAGCTGGCCACCACCTCCAGCTAGTGCTGAGGTCAAGAAAACGTGGCTGTATAAATCCACTCCCCCATACACCTTCATGGCTTAGTGCTGAATTAGTTAAGCACAGGGACAGCTCTACCCTTTTTACCTTTGGTGATTGCAGTCCACTCGGCAGCCCACAGCCACAAGACAGGGAGGTGATTGGTTCTTTGCATATCTAAGAACTCTTTTTCAACTAAACAGGTCATATAACATTGAATGATAGAATGACTGTGCAGAAGGAACTGAAAATGGTGTGGATGGAACCATTGAGGCCTACCTGAAGTGACTGAAGGCAGAGTACCTTGGGCAGAATATAAAACCCAGACCTCTAAAATACGTAGCAAGAGTATTAACTGTTCAGCCACAAAGACTGATTCAAAATTAGGAATGAATTTCGCATCTCATGAATGGCATGTCAAACAAGACAATAAATCTGCTAAGAATTCTGGATGTCAACTTTCTTTCAAATGCATAGTATATATGCCCTGCCGTGGTGACAGGGGGGCGTGTAGGTATCCCTCCTTGCCACCACACCTTACACTGTAAGGGGTTAACACAATAATACTAGCTTACCCTTAGCTAGGATTCTCCTGGTTCTGGACTTCCTTCGTTGCATACAGCTGCCACCATCTATTACATCTTAAGAAGGGGTGATGAAAGTACTAAGGGCCGGTGGTGCAGTACTTGAGCGTTCTCTTTTGGCTGGCCCTTTCATCACTGTCACCTCTTGTTATTGGCGTAGAGCGGGCGAGTCGGGTCTGACCCGCCTCTACCTATCGACTGTCACACCCTGTATTACACCTCTATGACAGGGGTGCATTTGATATCTCACCACTGTCCCCAATCATTATGTCTTAGTGACGGGGGTGGGTTACAACACACTAAATCACTTGGTCTGCCATTTCTCTTTGGCTAGTCCCTTCGCTACGTCAGTCAACCCTTCGTTGACTCGGCCTACCGCCGTTGCCATAAGTAATGCTTCAATGTAAGGGGTGAGTAAAACACAGTTACTCTTTCTCTACGTCAGCCACCTTGCGTTGGCCGATCCCCACTTCTGATATCACTTTGTTTTGCCTCAAACGGGGTGAGAAAATATTACTACTTTAGTCTGTCGCCACCCTTTCTGTTAGGATGTTCGCTGCATTCGGCTGCCGTCGACTGCCTGGGGTCAGTTCTAGCTTCGCTTTGGTAGGATCGCTCTGGATCGGTTGTGGACGGGTTGGTTTGGGGAAGTAAATCAAAACTCCCTGTGTACTTCCTACCCTAAGTACACTGATCTATTTACACTGTTATTTACAATAAAAGAATGCCGACGTCTGTCGGTTTACACTTTGTCTCGGGGCATGATACTTCTGACTCTGTTCAAGTCTCTCGCATGGTGCAGCAGGCTTGAGACTGTCACTTTCTTCATTGCTATTACTTGACATGCCATCCCTATCCTACCCTGGGTCCCTGATCTATTTACACTTTAATTTGTATTCTATTTACAGTAATAACAATACCGACTCTCGGTCGGGACTTACATAGTGTCTTTACCGCACCATGCTATGCTTCATCATAATCTCCCCTTCTTGGGTGTAGGACTTGAGTCTGTCTGTCTCTTTCTCTCCACTGTTTCGGCTCATTTCACAATTATCCACTATTCTATCATAAGACTTCCCCTTAAATTATTTTTCTCCTAAACCCATACATCTACAGCCTACGTCTGTAGATAGTAAGACCAACAGAGAAGTATAAAATAATAATTTTAAAATTTATGGATCCACTGCCTTGTATGGTGTCCATAAATAAAGGTTTCCACAAAAATAAACTTGTCACATATACCATAAAAATTTTGCAACATGGCCATGTTCATAATTGTTAACACCTGCAGAAATGAAGGTATGCTTGTACTCAACCTTCATACAAGATTTCACATGGTTCATTAATTAATGCCATGAACCCAAAGGCAGAGCTCAAATAGGAAAATTTTAACAACTGGGATGCTAAGAAAAAAATAATAATTTACATCTTTTTCTGCTACTTACTTTAATGATTGGTGGTTGTGTGATCATTGTACCTTATTGTTATGTTGCATTCACTTATTTGTTCACAATATATTTTGGCCACATACAGCCATCATCAGGCATATTAATTATATGATGTAAGGTGCTTCACTGTGTTTTGTTCACATTGAGATAAGCTTTAATTAAAATATCCCCATTAATAGTTAAAATCCAAATGTTATTTCTTGTAGGATGAAAACTTTTTGTATATCATCGCATATATCTCTTCTCAGAATACAATTGTGTTATCATTGTCTTAGTATTATCTCTTTGGTTCATTGTTTCATGAGGTGTCACATGAACAGTGAACATTCATAGAATTATGATGGGGTGAAAAATGAGTCAGTTAACAGTCACTTACTTGTTAGTCTTCACTTTAGGGCATTTGCAAGCTAAATCCTTCATGTGTACCCATAAGTAAGTGTTTCCCCTTCGCAGCCTTGAGTCTCGTGCGCGTTTGTACACTGATTGGACACTCATTGAGAACTTCACCCAGTCTTCTACTGTCTCGCGCTCCAGGACCTTGCCCAGAATGGCTGCAAGCAGGAAACATTATGCATCAGTCAGAACATGCAGAAGGTACAGTATTTTATTAAGCACATATTATTAAATTGACAAAACTATGAAGCTTATGCAATACATTAAACTCCCTCTTTCTGGTAACCAAGTATCCAATTTTCTCATTCAACCAGCAAAAATTTCAAAGAAAATTTACAATTTATATGAAGATTTTAAAAAGAGTAGCTCTGTTAGCTGCTACTAGTAGTGCTCTCTGTCACTCTCCCTCATACAGTTGCTATTACAGTACAGACTAGTCCAGTTCGTGGCTACATTACAGTATATCTGGAATATTTCAGCCATTAACCTGCTATGCCCTTGATTATGACTATCTTTTCTTCACTGCATGTTTAATATTGTACAGGCTTGTATATTAGATTGTACTGTATTGGGTTTCTATGGAAGTTTTTCTCATGCAACTAGAAGATTCATATAACCAGCATACTGCATTCTCTGTACATGATAGATGACCAGCAGTTGTCTGTACTTCATAGGTTCATAATGTCAGCACTGATGCCAATCCAAGATTTTCAGTTCAAGTGAAATTTTTGGGAAGACATCTATATGTATCATCTGGTCCAGTAACACAATGAATTTCAGCTGCCAAAAATAGGACATTAAAGATAACTTTCACTTGATTCTTGTAGAGAATTTCATAAGAGGCAACTGGACAAAGAAACATAACCTTTCCATGTGATATTCTAAACAATATTTTATGTAAAGAATTCCTCAAATGAAAATGAATCTGGGAATTTTGATTAATGGGAAGCAGAAGGGGGAGAGTGGTTAGGAAAATGAGGATGCTTTAAATATATTCAGAGAATCTAATAAATTATGAACAAACTGGAGGATTTATATAATGAAGTAATGTTGTATTGAATTTTTTTCATGTAAAAATCATTAAGAAGGAAAGTTAAATACCTAGTAAAATTTTATGGAGATTGAAGAAAGGAACTATTCAAAAATTAAATAAAAGACAATTAGGTTAAATTTTACAATAACCTTTGTCTTGTCTCAGCCAGAAGGACTACCTGTATTCATTTTTTTGTAGCAGAGTATTATGAGTGAGTCAGTATAGCAACTGGCTATGAGCTGGATGACTGAAGGGTCAGAGTTCGAGTCCTGGTAGGGTCTAGAATTTTCTCTTCTACATCATCCAGACCAGCTCGCATTCATCCAACCTCCTATCCAAATGGTACCAAGAGCTCTTTCCCTGGGGGTAAAACGTCCGGGGGGTGAAGCTGACCACTCATCTCCAAATAGTGTCGAGGTCAAGAAAATGTGGATCTGTACATCCACTCTCCCATATGTCTTCATGACATAATGCTTAATTAGTTAAGGACAGGGATAAATTTACCCTTTTATATGCATACTAGCAATTTGTACTGATGATTGCAGTTAGACTGCTGACAATTCCTGGTGTCTGCACATGCTTCAGAGGGAAGTTTCTTGGAGTACAAGTATAACGTATCCCGGACACTGGGAGACAAAGGCAGCAGTAAATTACTCAAACGTTTTGTACATTATTGGTTTTATCACATATAAGCAGACATAATATGCAGAAGCAAAGAGTCCCTTAGCAGACTCGAAGTGGCGCAAAAAATAAATGTATACGAAACGATAAATGAAGCTGTAAATAAATCCACTGAGTACTTTATGCAGACATTTCCAGAATGGAAGTATAGAAATGTTAAGGACGAAAAGTAGATGGATGGTAGAAATTATATTAAGATAAAAAAGCAGTATGACTGGATAATGGAGTGGGAATAAATTGTGTGATGCAAAAGGAAGTGAATCGAATAAGCGCCAGATCCTCGAGAGAGGAACAAATACTGAAGTCTAATACAGTTAAGCCTACCGGTAAATGTGACTTTTGAAGTGGTTTAGTGAACTTCAGTACCCGAAATAATACATATTCTCGTTCTTGGGGAGGGTGGAGTTAAAACGTCAAACTTTTCTTCTTTCTTGAACACAAGATGAGCATGAACTATACAGAAAAAGAGAACTAGCTGGCGTCTCTTATACTGCATATATTTCGTTGTATTGAAATGACATTTAAAACGGGTTACCAGCATACCTATGAAAGTAGTATTTTCTGGGATGTGACGCCATGTAATCTGGTAATTTATAGATGTTTTGGAGAAACATACTGCCTCCATCTACAGCGTCGAATTGGAAACAAGCAGCAAATCGAGTACCGTTCTCAAAATGGCCATAAACCCCTACCAAATTTCACGGCGTTACAACTCACAAGATAGAATTCTTCATAGACCCCGCCCCGACAGTCTCAAATCTCACAGATTTCAGTTTTTCACTTATTTTCTTCCTTCCTTCAACATTTATGGATTAGAGCACTTGGTCTGTTCCAGTAAGACTCCTTGGGCGGGGGATCGGCCGTCGCAACGCATCTCCCCAAACACGCAACATACAGCGAAAAATGAGTTCATGTCCCTAGTTGGATTCTAACCCACGAACCCGGTGTCCGAGCGGCCGAAGACATCACACGCCTTAGCGCTGCCAATGTGAATGGAAATTCTAAGGTACACTTACGTGTATAGCGATGAGTAGAACTGTTTGGCCTTGGCCGTTCTGCTGTTCATTGGACAATGTTTTATGTACCAATAACGACAGTGACATCCGTCCAAAAATCGTGCCGATGTTCCCATCTTGCACAGTACACAAGGATGGAACTTTTTAAGGGCCTCTGTTTCTCTTCGTTGGTGGATAGTGCTTCACAGACTCACTGACTTTGGCCGATCGGGTTGCCATAGCGGTAACGCTGTAGACTCGTCTTGGGAAGGTCCTTGCACGGAATTTCCGTCAGGACGTCGAGTGTCCTGACTGAGGGTTTTTCTGGTTGTCCTCGGTACGTTCAGTTATATGTCGGGGTATTACCTCGCTTATGCCAAGACCGATGCTTTCTAAATCATTTCCAATTCATGAATCATCATACCATTCGATGCCATATAATCTCGGCAGTGACAGCGCCGTGAAATAACCCACTAAAAAAATCCGTGATTTTAGTTCGCATGCGAATTATACCGGCCGAGTGACCGTCGCTTGTCGGCGAAGTTAGTGCCAACTTTAGCGAATAGAGGGTGTCGCGTGGTCAGCGCAACGAATCCCCACGGCCGTTAATTTCGGTTTTCTAGACCAGAGCCGCTCTTTCCTTGGAATAGCTCCTCATGAGGCTGAATGGGTCCAGTTCCCGACCCACTACTTCTCAGAAAATCTGGTAGCGCCGGGAATCGAACCCGGACCTCTGGATCTGTAGCCATGAACTCTGACCACTAGACCATAGAGGCGGTCCGTGAAATAACCCACAACAGAGTAATTGTTTTTAGCTCAGTAGAATTATTTATTGTTCAGATATGTTCGTGAAATATATTTTATTATCCGGTTAGTGAACCGTATCGTAAGAAATCACGTTCCGTTCTTGCACGTGTGCTTTATGCACGTGAAGGATTACGGATGAAAGTGGGATGAACGTAGTAAAACGGATGATACAGTTACAGAATGGAAAGTGAGGAAGAAAAACGACGTTGAGTCGAGGGGATAGGAAAATTGGTATGAACCGTCTGATGCAAGGGGATAGCCCCGCGGGAATGCTTAAAAAAAGAAGACCTGACGAAAGACACAGAAAACACAAAGATTCACGTACAAACAAATGAAATTGCTACTAGGGGGACTATATAAAGAAATGAGTGATTTCGTGTTGTTGTGAGGCGAGAGAAAGGAAGTCAGTCGACGCTACCACTCAGCGAGAGCCATCTAGCGTCTCGTGGGGGAAACTTGCCTCTTACACGAGTTCACTCATCGGCTTGACAAGGTGTTAACTTATATCCGCACCGCGACGCTCAATGTCTGACACGACAAATTGTTAGTTGTGTCAACCGCAAGACATTTCGCTATTTTGCGTCAGGGTTATGCTAGGGAATTTCACAGTTCAGTGCAGTAGTGGGACACACATCCCAAAATGAAGTGCGTACCATTCCAATGGGTGTATTCCACGTGACTCTACAGCATGATCAAATGAAAAAAAAAAAATTAAACTCATACTCAGAATGCTACTTGTTTTGTTCCACTAACCAACTCCACTGAGCGCACTCTTTCTTTAGAATAATCGCTCAGGTAGTCAATAACCGCCCCCCCCCAACTTCTATGGAATGTTCTTTAACATGTTCATAACAGCCTTCACTGAGCTCTTTCCCCAAGTCAAAGCAATTGCACTCCCTCACGCACTGTTGCTTTAATATATCTCTCTGTCTGTCTATCTATCTACGGCTCTACAGCCCTTTGTTGGGCCTTGGCCGCCTTTTCTGTTTCTTGATCTTTTTACACAGTCGGTAGGACTCCTTTCAAGGAGGATCATCCCATCGCAACGTCGCTACCTGCAAACAGGTTAGCACAAACACATAATAAACGTCCAGAGACATCCATGCCTCAAGTGGGATACGAACCTACGTTTGATCGGGTGAAGATAGTTCATGCCTTAGACTGCGCTGCCACTGTGATGTTGCTTTAATATACACTTAATATTAGCTTCCCATCTACGAGATAATACGTAAATACCACGCCATGAACAATTACAGGGGAGTGGATATATAGCTCCATCATTCCTGACTTCAGCAATAAATGGAGCAATCCAAAAGAACAATTAATGTGTTTCCAAAATAAGAAGTTTAGTGGATTAATCGGTTAAGACCAGTGCCCGAATCAGGTAGTCTGCGCATGCGCTGGATCGGAGGGTATGTGGGAGGGAAGACCGGAAATGAAAGTACAAGACGAACTTACCCAAGCAAGCAGAAGCAGAGTACTCTGTTCGAAATATCTGTGAACTTCTATCGGGCTACACGGTGCCACATTTCAGAAGCTATCGCAATGAAAATTTATAACTTCATAACTTTCGATAAAACTGTTCTGCCATGAAAATGAGAGGCTAGGAACGAGTCCTGAGTCAGCTCTATTCCGGTTCTGG